CAAGGAAATGGAACAAAGTCCCATCTTGGCACTTATAAGAAGAAGATAAATTCTAGTGCAAATGAATTTTTTTGTTTATAAGAGAAGACAAGTAAGATTTATTAAACCTGTTTATGCAAATAACTCGTTGGTTATGTATAATTTTTGTTGTCAAAAAGGTCACGTGAAAAGTAATTGCTATATGAGGAAGAACATGAGAAGAGGCATGAAATGCATGTGGATAGTTAGACATGATGCTAATTCTTAAGGATCCAAAAATTAATGGGTACCATATATTAGTTCTTAAACTCTTGAGTAGGTGAATCTGGTGAACATTATTAAGGAATCAAAGTGGTTCATAGATAGTGAAAGTTCAAGACACATGACCGGTGATTCATTACAATTCATCAAATTCAAACCAAAGTCTAGTGGCATAGTGACATTTGGAGATGATGTGTTTCTATTTCAAGACCATTGGAGCTTTTACATCTTAATTTGTTTGGTCCTACACAAATTGCTAATTTGGGTGGTAAGAGATATTGTTTAGTCATTATTGATGATTATTCTAGATACACCTGGGTAGTTTTTCTTACTCACAAAGATGATACTTTCAAAAAATTTCGTTTCCCTATTTATAAAAGTTTAAAATTTGTTTGGTTTGAATATTGTTAAAATTAGAAGTGTCAATTGTTCGAAATTTAAATGTTGTGACGTTTCGAAATTTTGTGAAGGAAAAAATGCATTTTTAATCCTCAAAATTTGGGTTGCTGACCATTTTCATCCTCAAAGTTTCACTCAAAACACATTTCATACTCAAAGTAACATAATTTGGCCAATTAAGGACAATTGACGGGAATTGGCAAATTTATCGTTAGAACTAACTGTAAACCTAACAAAAAATGGGTAAAATCGAAGGATCAAAATTAGTTAGCTAAATTAAAACTCAACTATTAAAGCTCGGAATATCACATGGTCCATCAACCTGAAAAGCCCATGGTTTGATAACCAAGTCGGTTATTAACCGATCCAATTCCCCACCAATAGCTGTGTGTGAATTACACAGATAAACCACGTACCTCAGAATCATTCCACAGTCTTTCCCAACTCAATTTCAATTTTCAGCAAAGAAGAGAAATCAAAAAACTACACATTTCATTGTTATCCTGCCCATCTGAGATAGCTATAAATCCTGAAAAATGGGGCTAGGTTTACTCGCCTCCCGGACTCTCTTGCGATCCGGAAAACTCCGGCCAGGTAACTTCACTCCTCTTCTCCGCCTCTCCATCGTCTCCACCAGTGAGCTCCAAAATGCCGAAGCAGCCCAAGCCCAGCCCGATTCTCCCCTTCGAATCTTCCCAAGAGAACTCCCGTCGGCGGGGCTCGAGTCCACTTCCCCAACCCGGAAGACGCTATCGAAGTCTTCATAGATGGATATCCAGTTAAAATCCCTAAGGGTATGACAGTCCTTCAGGCCTGCGAGATCGCCGGCATCGACATTCCTCGTTTTTGCCACCATAGTCGCCTCTCTATTGCCGAAAATTGTCGTATGTGCCTCGTTGAAGTCAAAAAGTCCGCCAAGCCTATCGCCTCTTGCACTATGCTGGCTCTCCTGGTAAACTAAACTAGTTGATAATTGAATTAATTTTTTGTTGACTTTATTACGAACAAAAAATTTAGATTTTTTGCTACTTAATATGAGAAAAATGTGGACTTTAGGGTTTAATGTTAATGTGTGAGGATTGGTGCTTTATAATTTAAGAAAAGAAAAAGAAAAAGTTGTTTGCTTACGTTGAGCTTGAGCTAGATGTTGCATTCTTTGAGAAACTAATTGCTTAATTTTGAGCTATGGATGATTCTATTATGGAGAGTTATACTTTTTAGCTGTGATTAAATTTTCTTCGGCAGTTGCCAAGGACAAAGGAGAGGGGGAAAAACATTTTGCTTGGTTGCCTGTTGGTTGTGTATTGATTTTGATGATCCGTTAGATTGCTCGATTTGTGATCAAGGTGGGGAATATGGCCCCATTTGGTTTTACCCATTTTTTGTTGGGTTTACAGTTGGTTCTAACGATAAATTTGCCAATTCCCATCAATTGTCCTTAATTAGCCAAAATTACGTTAACTTTGAGGATGAAATATGTTTTGAGTGAAACTTTGAGGATGAAAATGGTCAACAACCCAAATTTTGAGGATGAAAAGTGCATTTTTCCCATTTTGTGATTACACTTTAGGCACTCTAGGGTCATTTGCACTTCATCTTTTGTATTTTGGTATTACATCTTTTGTATTAGGATGCATCTTTTATATTTTTTCTTTTGATGTTTCAAGTACTTTGTGCTAATGGATCTTGGTTAACATTGATGGTTTCTAATTGAATTGCTAATGTATTTTGGTTGATATTTCTCTGTTTGGTACTTCTTTTGGTATTAATTCTCTATTTTTGACTGATAATTGATATTGGCATGTTGGTAATTGCTGAATTCTGGTATCATTTCTCTGTTTTTGATTGTTATTTTGGATTCTCTATTATGGCAATTATATTATGGATTATGGTTGTTGGATTTTACTCTCATCTTATGATGACAAAAAAGGGGCAAAATGGATACTATGTGAAAGGGGGAGTTATTCTGAAATTATAAGTTTAGCACTTAAAAATTTTTTATTGCAATAAGTGAGAGGGAACTTATGCTTAACTTTTTCTTTCTTCTATCCATTATTTTGTCATCATCAAAAAGGAGGAGAATGTTAACCTTGCTCCCTAGCTTTTGATGTTTACAAAATAATGGATGATACTAATATCTCTTCAAGAAATACTTTCATCTATGAAACAAATCTGATTCAAAGAACAAGAGCATTTGAAAGAGATAAAGGAAGTTGAAAGCTATCGGACACTCGCGAAGACAACATCGGACGTCCGATAAACAATGTAGCACTTCGGACGCATGAAAACTCCATTACCAGACGTCCGAAAGAATTAAGAAATTCCTTCTAATTCACTATTTACTTTCGGACGCAAGCATTAGAGGTACCGGACGTCCGAAAAAATTAAAATAATTTCTCAAACTCACTGTCTGCTGTCGGACGCAAGCATTAGCTGCACCGGACGTCTGATACTCCCAACGGCTAGTTGACTCTTCAACTGCCTTCTATCCATTGAAGCATTAATAAAGCACTTTCTTAGTCTTATATAAATAGAGTATAGTCAGAAACTTCAAACAACTTTTACACACTGAAGATACAAAAGATATAGAGTTGTTTTTGTGAGAAAACACTCTCTAAGGAAGATTTGTAGTCTTGATGGTGTGAAGTTCATTGTAAGTTTTTCATTTGTGAGTGAATACTTCAATAGTGTAGATCTGTGAGGGTTGTCTTGAGGGATAGTAAAACTTCTTAATTTAACCAAGTGGAGTTTGGGGCAAGAAGGAAGTGAGCCTTCCTTTGTACACAAGATTGGTTGTATTTCATCAACTTGAAGAAGTTTGTTTGAATTGATCTTCAAACTCAAGAGGAACTTGGTAGTCAATTGGTTTGCAATTCCTTTCTTCTTATTTACTTATTGTTATCTTGTGATCTTTGAATTGCTTATATCTTCTACTTCTCTCAAGTGATTTTGTTCATTCATTGATTGATTCATTGTGTGATCACTTAGAAAAGAGGGTAAATTTCATATTGAGCAAAAAATGCCTATAACTTGATTAACTTTATAATCAACCTAATTCACCTCCCCTCTTAGGTTGTCTTCAATCCTTACAAAATCTATGATCATTAGTGCTATGTTTTCAAATAAACCTTTCCAAAAGAAAAGGACTCCTAAATTTTCTATTGAAAGATACCTTATCCTTAACATTTCATTTAACATTTGAAGAAATAGAGGCTATACTAAGTGTTGATTTTAATCCATATTCTTAATAATTTGGTCTAATACAAGTTTCATATTACTTATCTTGCATTGCATCCTTGTTACATTCTTCCCACCAAATGCACAAGACCTAATGAAATTTGCCCTTTTTTTCATCATTTTTTTCATGAAAATTGGAGATTGATGTGTGATCAACTCATCAAACTTTAGTAGTTGATGATGAGAGAGTACTAAATTAGTATATGCATCATGCTAATTTTTGGGTACAATACCAAAAAATTTGTCTATGCCATCATCTTTTATTATAGTTGTGGACAAGGTACTAATCTACGGGGTAAGTAATATGGCCATATCAAATTCTAATGTTTTGAGATGTCAACTTAGTTGTTAGCATCTCATGAAATGTGAGGAAATGTTGTTTCCCCAAATGAGTGCCTTTGCCATACTTTCTATCTCTCTTTTTTTTTAGAAAAAAAAAACTTACCTACGCACATTTGTTTCAAAGGAGGGACCCGGTATAGAAAGAGCATTAGGCAATTTAGGAAAAGACATATTGGTCTAAGAGGAAATATCTCTTTGATATTGTAATAGACCATTCAACATCTCAGGTAGCTATCAATGTTAGAGGCAGTTTAATATTTTAGTCCCTAACATACCAAGTTATTGAATTTGAAATTTCAATTTTTGATGTTAATTGATAGACACTGTAAGCTTAAACATATTATGATGCCCATTAGTATAGGAATATTTAGCTTGTTCAATAAAGTACGTCAGGTCTCTATTTGTAGTTATGATATTATATATTATGCTGATAGATATCTCCATGTTTATGTATAGGTAGTAATTTATAGTCCGGAATGAAGAGACTAACTCCATATTGACAAGGTTGTGACTTTCAGAATTTGATCCTAAAGAAGGAATGCTATATATGTGTTGCTATATATTGATCCTAAAGACACATTGTAATTTTAGCTAAAAAATTACTTTCTTTTGAATTTAGTGTATAGTGTTTCCTGCCGTAACTTGGCTTGCACGGTTGGTGGCTTCGTTGACATGGACGCCCTTTAGCCTAGGGCTGGAGGGCAACCCCCTCACCATCAACAAAGTCGTTTGCTTCTCTCTTTGCCGTGGAATCCCCTTCTCCGATTGATCTCAAGAAACAGATGGCTCATAAAGGAGAACCTGCGGTTTTCTTTTCCAAGGAGGATATTGTTAAGCTTGCTGCCCCGTATAAATTTGCGGTAGTTGGTAAGTTTTCTCATAGGCAGCCGAAACTAGACGATGTTCGCCGATTCTTCTCCACCTTGAACCTGAAAAATTCTGTCACCATTGGGCATTTAGATGCTCAACATGTACTAATGCGTTTCAATCAGGAAGCGGACTTCTTGCGTGTTTGGACTCAGGGGATATGGCAGATTGGTGCAGTCAGTCATCAACAGGATGGGAGCTTGGAGATCTCGCTTCCTATCCTTTGGAGAGCGTATTACTCTTATTAAACATGTCCTGTCAGCAATCCCGGTTCATCTGCTCATGACTTCGAGCCCTCCTAAAGGAGTTCTTGCCTTGGCTAAATGAGTCATGGCAAACTTTCTTTGGGGGGAGAGGGATGGTGGGGTATGGCATCATTGGATTAGATGGCAGGATTTGTGTGCCAACACGTCGCAAGGAGGGATAGGTGTCCATTCTCTACTCAAGTGTATACAACATTCTCTTTCAAGCTTTGGTGGAGGTTTCGTACAAGTGACTGTTTATGGTCCACCTTTATGCATGCCAAGTATTGCCATCAAAGCCATCCATGCATGGTGGGGGTGACAAAGGGCAGCTCCTATGTCTGGCGTCGGATGCTCCAAGTTCGTGATTGGTCCAGGCAGGAAGTTGCAACTTTTGGTTTGATAATTGGTTGGGTTCTGGCCCACTGTGTCAGAGGTTGGAGAGTGTTTCGGATCATTCTGTGTTCGATTTTGTGTCAAATGGACAGTGGAACCAAAATTTGCTGAGGTACTGGGTCCCAGATGCTGTTGTTGCAGAGATTATCCAGAGGCCTGTCCCTACTGGTGACGGGCAAGACAGGGCAATCTGGTGTTTGACGGAGTCTGGGGATTTTTCGATTGCATCGACCTATCATTTGTCCAGTGGGCAGCAACCTACCTCATTCATGTTTGCTAGGGTCTGGTACCCGTTGTTGCCCGTCAAGATTTCCTTTTCCATGATGCGTGTGTTGAGAAATCGGTTGCCTGTAGCGTCAGCATTGGGGAGGCTAAATGTTCACGGCCCTTCAAAGCGCTTTTGCTGTTTAGATCCCAACTCAGAATCATTGAAGCACATTTTTTCAGAAGGTGATCTAGCCCAGTTTCTTTGGGCTTTCTTTGGGAATGCTGTAGGGGTTGTGTACAGAGGTACAGGTGTTTGGTCTCGGTTGGTAGGTTGGTGGTCTTTGCCAACACTTCATTCTCGTATGAAGATGATCCATACGGTGTTGCCTAGCATAATCTATTGGCATGTTTGGTTGGCACGGAATCTCGCCTTCTTTGAAGGCCAATCCCTGCACAAGCGGACTATTTGTGATTGTATTATGGCAGATGCAGTGGGATTGGTTTGTGGTAGGGATAGGGGGAATCGGAGGGTTATTTGTCCTGGCATGCTTTTTATGCCAGTCTCTTTGGATGGCGCCCTCGATACTCCCATCGGATGGTTTGTTGGGAACCACCAGGTCAGGCGATGTGCAAGCTAAACACAGGTGGCTGTTCACTGGGCAATCCGGGGAAAAGTGGAGGGGGTGGTGTACTTAGGGATGCGTCTGGTGAATTGGTATTTGGGTTCTCCATCCCTCTTGGGGAGGTGACAAGTCTACAGGCGGAGGCTAAGTCGTTAATATATGGGGTGCAGCAGTGCGTGTTGCGGGGCTTCTCCAGCATTCAGGTGGAGGTGGATTCGCTACTGTTAGCAAATATCCTTCAAGGCAAATCGAAGTGTTCGTGGTTGATTCGATCGGAAATTGCAACATTCCAGGCAATCTGTACTTTGGCTAGGACGGTGGGACATTGCTATCGAGAGGCGAACCAGGTGGCAGATGCGTTGGCTAAGGCGGGGGCAAATGGTTCAGGGAATGTTCTTTATACTTCACAATCGGAGTTACCAAGACCTGCAAAGGGGGCCTTGATATTGGATAAAGCAGGAACTCCTGCCATTCGCGTTAGGGCTATTCGCAAATAAACTCCTTTGCATTAAAAAAGTAAAGACAATTATAAGATGAATAAAAATTGAGAGTTTTCTCAAAAAAAAAAAAAAAGTATAGTGTTTCCTCCTCCAGGCTTAAGACCATAGATGAAAAGTGAATTAAAAAAAAAAACCCTACCTAGAATGGGTAGGGGACAAAAAGCTTTCATTCATCTAGATCTCAAGCATACAACAAAGAATGTTGTACTCCTATTGCAATGAATTCTACCAGCATTTGAGTAAAAAGAATCCACTATTTTCACCATTACCATTACAGAAATTAAAAACATATCTAGGCAACGTCACGCAGTGTACGAGGCCCCATATAAGTCGTAATAGAAATATTTACAATGTTAAATATTGTGTAGATAACTATGTCAAGTTTAAAATGGTCAAGTGTATCCAAATGGAGCATTTGTGACAACATTAGTTAGGGCAAGTTGCAGTTGGATGAAAGTGGTGAAGCCTTTATTGTTGTCCAAGATACATTGATAACTCAATTTCATATTGAGTTTATAATAGTGCATATAAGAGCATGATTTCAAAAACTAAAAATGAAGTTTTATCATTTGAAGGAGATTTTGAATTGTTCTAGAAGTTATTGTGGTAGTAGCAGTAACGAGGTAATTGCTTCAAAGGTATTTTGGACAAAATGGTTTCAAGTGAAAAGTTCTACTTAAATTTCTTAACAAATTTTAATAGTTGTTATATATGTTTGATAACTATAAATTAATTACATAAATAAATTATGATGTAGAAACATCCAAGTGATTTGGAACTGATTGAAGAATTTCGTATGAGTGCAATTAGTAATTTTCAATAGCTCTCAATTATTTTTAATGGATAACTAAATATGTGATTTAATGCTCCTTTTATTATTTTTAATTACTATTTTAGAAATGGATGAATTTTTTTTAAAATTTCAATGTGTTAGTCTCTAATTGATGTATGAATACTTCGTGGTATCTATCTTAGAAATTAGCTATTTCTTTCTTTTTGCATTTTATGCTTTGTAGTAATGCCAATATATATCTTAATTAATTTAAGGTATGATATCTATTATTATATTTGTTTTGATCAATATGTATCTTTGTTTATATGTATTCATAAATTAACAATCTTGACCAATTTTCCCATAACTTTCTTGCTAATCAAACACAATAGTTTGAATTTTCTTGCATTATTTTTTTTTCCAACCAAATACACATGCAGAATTGGGAGGGGAGTTAGAGTTAGAGTTGGGAGGGGATGCCCTATGGTATCTCACCTTCTTTTTGTTGATGATTCTTTATTCTGCTGTAAGATGAGCGCAGGGGAAGCAAGACAAATGAAAGACATGCTGGCTACTTATGAAAAGGCGTCTGGATAGCTTATAAATTATGAAAAATCTGCTGTATTTTTAGTGCTAACACTTGCAGGAACCAAAGGAAGGAAATATGCTCAAAACTAGGAAATATGTCAGAAACATGTCAGAAACACGGAGTGGAAAATACCTAGGCCTACCAATGATGATAGGAAGATCCAAACAGCAAGTCTTTGGATACATTAAGGAGAGCCTACAAAACAAAATGCAGAACTGGAAGAGGAACCTGCTCAGTCATGCTGGAAAAGAAGTGATGATCAAGTCAGTGGTTATGATCAAGTCAGTGGTTATGGTGGCAAGCTTTTGGTGGGGAAAGGAGGAGAATGCAAAGAAAATACATTGGGTCTGCTGGTCTAAAATGACCTAAGTTAAGGGTAAGGAGGGCTTCAGTTTTAGAGATTTGGTATGTTTCAACAAAGCTCTACTGGCAAAGCAGCTTTGGAGACTTATCAATCCAAACCTGCTAGTCAGTAAAGTTTTAAAGTCCAAATACCTTAGGGGGGATCAAAGCTGGAATAGAGAGCCTCCAAAAGCAGCCTCTTGGGTTTGGAAAAGTTTAATGGGAGGAAAACAACTGTTCGACAAGGGAATGAGACATAGAGTAGGAGATAGGACAACTATACAGGTGTGGAGAGACAAGTGGATCACAAGTGATGAGGAAGGAAAAATCAAGACCGTAAGACAAGGAGAGTGCAATGTTGAGAAGGTGGAGGAACTAATGCAAGAAGGCGATTGGAATGAGGAGCTACTAAACAAGTGGTTTGAAGAAGAAGATGTGCAGAAGATTCTGGCCATCCCTCTAAGCTTGACAGGGGGAAGGGATAAAATGTATTGGAAGTATACAACCTCTGGACAGTTTACAGTCAAATCTGCATATGCAGCAGAAAGGGAAGGGACTAGACAGCAACATGAACTAGAAAACAGGGAGGGCACTAGCTATCTTCAACAAAGATCCAGAGGGTAGAAAAGCCTATGGTCATTGCAGATGAAGCACAAACTCAAGCATTTTGTATGGAGATGCTTGTTAAACAGCTTACCAGTGAATGAACAGATACACAAACAATCAGGGAAGCGAAATGAATTTTGTGAGTGTTGTGGAGAAGAAGAAGAAACAGTGGAGCATATGCTATTCCATTGTAAGAAAGTAGAGCTCACGTGGAGAATTGCCCCAATAAGTTGGGATGGTTTAAATGATATGAGAAGTAATTTTGTCAGATAGTGGGAAGGGATATTAGATGCAAAACAAAGGGATAGGGGACAAGAACACATTGCCTTAACTATGAATATTATGTAGTAGATTTGGAAAGCAAGAAATAGGAAGATATTCTTAGATGAGGGGATAGATGCTAGGCTTATTGTACAAAAAGCACAGAGAGAGTGGACAGAATTTATGGAAGCCCAGGATAGCGGAAGGGAGTACATTGATCAAACGGACAGCTCAAGATTAGCAACTCGGAAACCACCTAGTAAAAGAGTGATAAGCATTAACACTGATGCTGCTTTTTCAGCAGGAATGGACCAATGTGGGCTAGGAGGGGTAGCAAGGGACTAGAAAGGAGGGATAATCAAAGCATGGGCAAATGTAGCAAGGAAAACCAATGAACCACTGGTGGAGGAAGCTGTAGCTATCAGAATGGGAATGATAAAGGCAAAGGAAGCTCAATGGAAAGTAGTCGAGTTCCAATCTGATTGCATAGTAGTAGTGGAAATGATAATGAAAGAAAGCATCAGGGACTCCAGAGTTGTTGTTGTACTAGAGGACATACAAAACATGAAAAGTCTGTTTGACAAATGTACCTTTTCTTTTGTTAATAGACTAGGTAATGGATGCACACACAATTTAGCAAAGTTTGCCGTCAAACTAGTTAGACAAGTAGATTGGGAAGGAAACTTTCCCATGTGGCTCAAAGAAAGCGCACAAAAAGATCTTTTGGGTACTTACCCAGTTGTAACACAGCTTGTGGTATCAAGTTAGCAAATGAAATATATAACAATGCTTTTGACAAAAAAAAATACACATGCAGAAAAAGTTTCCTTTTTCTTTCATCATACTTTTCATTTCACTTTTCTTGCAGCACATTGTCGTGCACAACTTTTCCGTCAAACAAATGGAGCCTTTTCAACATAAGTAGATAAAGAGCCGAAGAGCTCTGATGACCTGGATGGTTTTCGTTGTCCTCTCACGTGCCAAGCATGTGAGTCACCAGCCTTTTTTTTTCCACGCAATGCGCCAGCCGTCTGCATATACTTCCTCTCTAGGGTTTTCGTAAATTTCCTCCGCTGCCGCCACCCTCTCTTCTCCCCTTCTCTCCTTCGCCTCACCTGTATCCTCATCCTCAGAAGCTAAATCCATCCCAGCACCAACAGATTACTCACGCGGTGCTGTAGTTTCACTACTGCTGGTGGCAACAATAGATTGTTCACGTAGATTGTTGATTTTGATGGAGCTATGCCTCTGTTGCCGCTGCGCTTATTGGTGCCGAAGGAGAAAAAGGAGAGCTAATTATATGGTGGTGCCATGGAGGAGTAGTGGTGGTAGAAGGTAACTCCTTAAATTTGCCTGTTTATTTTCGTTTCTATTTTTTTTCCAATTTTTAACCAATATGTCCTCTTTTTTTGTGCCCTCTTCGAGATGATCTGAAAGAAAAGCTTCAACTCCAGATTTTCAAGCTAAAGTAGTAGAGTGAGGTATGCGTGGTTTTCTCCACTTTTTTTCCTAATTATTTCATTTCGTTGGGATTTTTTTTCTGATTTTCTCCACCTTTTTTTTTCCAATTTTTAACCAATATGTCCTCCTTTTTTTTGCCCTCTTCGATATGATCTGAAAGAAAAACTTCAACTCCAGATCTTCAAGCTAAAGTGTGAGGACTCGCAAAAAAAAAACTATTATTTTATGCCTAATTTATGGCTTAATAAATTATTTAATTGGATTTTATTTCCAAGGAATATTTTCTAGTCTTATTAGACCTAAATACATGGTAAAATAATTTCGTTATATTTTTAAAATGATTCGTTTCGAAAATTAATTACCTGGAGCGCGTTTAGTAAAAATAGTGAATAGTGCTTGGAGATTTTATCCGCGTAATAGCACAATAAGCTTGGAATATTGGAGACTTATACAATGGTCCTAAAATAGGTAATCTTATGAACAAATACTCAAGTGATAGTTAGTAGTGCAATCGTTATAAGAATTTCTCGGAAGTTTCGCGTTATAACGTTAAATTTGACGGTACGCGTTTTCACACGCGCGACTTTAATTGAGGGACTTTAGACCCTTATTTCGGGACAATTAAGAGTGAATAATACTCACATGAATATTAATGCATTGGAGGTTTAGTGCACTAGTGAACCAAACGCGCGAGAAAAATCAAGCCGTAATCGCACCAAACGGCCCCTAATGAGAGTTGACTTTTGGGTGAATTTCCACCACTTATTTCACCTTCTCTTGGAAGCTAAAGGAAATCAGATTTCTCTCCATCTTCTCTCTCCTCATTGCCGACCAGCTCTCTTCTCTCTCTAACTCATTTGCTTCAAAATTTCTGCTCACAAATCTCACTCAAAACCACCCCAAATCATCTCCAAATTCAACCAAACTTGCACCACACCTAGCTTGACACTTGAGGATCATTTTGAG